AGTAAGTGGAGCAGATAAAACACATGGTGGTGGTGGGGTGGCGCTATGTTAGGAGTGGTGGTTGGTTTTAAGAGGAAAGACAGAAAAACCGAAAGGAGCTAGCTCCAGTACCACCAAGGCAAAGCCAAGTTTGGCTTCAATTATGAGCTCCACAGGAAAATTATGCCCACAGTGCCCAGCTGCAGAAGATTTTCCTTGTTTTGACACAGGGTTTAAGTCGGGATGTTTTGTCCAATTGTCACTCCTTCATTGGTTTTCCAAGAGTGTAGCTGAGTGCAGACTCAAACTGGGTGCACTTTCCATCAGGCTTATGGTTTTTTGCTTGAGGCCTCCCTGCCCCTTCATGGGTCAGGTGTCCCCTGCCCTCAGGGGCAGGTGGTTCCATATTCAATCACTGCCTTCTCTGTAGTCTGGCCTGTCCCACCTTTATCCTGCTGGTTGAGGATATGAAGGGAACATACAATATTACCATGGCTGACAGAGCAGGAAAGTATAGAGGAAGTAAGGTAACAGGGAGGACCACTGGATCAGCTCTGCAGTTCCAGACTTCAATCAGCATTTTAATTACCAAGTCTATATTTAGCAAGACAATGTGGGAGAGATAAAGAGGAAGGAAGGGGTAGGAGGTGAGGGAGTCTCAGAGGAGCTGACCCACTTTGTGCACGGGCTGCAGAGCCTTGCAGTCCTGGCCAGGAGTTCCTGACCTTGTGCCCTTCAGAAGTGCCAACAGGCATCAAGGAGGTACTTAAGCAGCTACAGCTCAGTAGCAGCTGCAGACCCCATATGAGACATCAGGACTGTCCTTTAGTCTTCCTCCTCTCTGCAGCTGTGGTAGAGAGGACTGGCCAATAATTTCAGGTGGGGTCAGTGTGACTGCAGGGTCACAGCAATAGCCTTGGCTGTGGCATTGAGTATGGTGGTGGGAAGCCGAGCAGCAGGGAGCATGGCAGGGATGTCTCTGGGGACCCTCTGAATGGGTGGGATGTTGGGGCCCTCCAGTGTATCCAGGATCCCTGAAAGGAAGATGGAAGGTGAGTGAGGGTCAGATGGGGCCAGGCCACTATCATATCCTGCCTTTTGCCCTAGACAGCTGCTTTCCCATTCTCCCCCACCCAGACCTTCCTGCCACTTACCCTCTACCACTTTGTGGTAGGCAAAATGCAGATAGAGCAGGAAGAGCATGTGTAGGGCAGCCAGGGTGCCACAGAGGAGCAGCCGCTGTGTGGGGCCCACGGTCCGAGACACCAACACTGCTACCTAGGGACATGAGAATATAGCTCAAAGGGCCTGGCTCCAAAGTGAGGAGTGGGTACAAGACAACCCCACCCAGGGCAGAACCCTCTTTGAGCCCCTCCCTCCCATTTAGGGCTCTTTGTGAGATGGACAGCTCCAGGCTGTCTTCCCCAACTCCCTGGGAGGACATCCCACCCCTGGAAGCCTCTTGCCCGGCTTACCATGCGCATTGTGGACAGCCCACCCACCAAAAGCCAGAAGAGGTAGAAGAGGGCGTGGAGGTGGATGTTATAGGTGATGAACAGGACAATGCAGTGCCCGAAGAGGCCATAGCCCTGGGAAGGAGGATGGTGGAGAGGAAAATCACTCAGGTTGGGCTGGTTTCTGGCCCCTCATGGGGAGCCTGGGAAACAGATGGTCCAATGGCCCACTCCACCCATTCCAGGATCTGAGGCCCCAGGACAGATGCAGACCAAGACCTGGCTACTCTTTTTAACATCACCCTTGCCTACCACCATGCCAGGCTCCTTACCAGCAGTGCCAGCATCTGCAGCATGGTGATCTGGGCGTTGCACAGGTAGGCGAGGAAGTAAATGAAGGATGAGACGCCCAGCCAGTAGCCGAAGCAGGTGCCAATGGCTGTGCCCATCAGGGTGCCCTCCCGCTGTGGGGCGAAGGCTCTACTTAGTCCTAGGAGGCTTCTGAGCTCAGCCTCATCTAGGGCCTTCCACAGGGAGGCCCTACTTCAGCCACCCCCCGACCCAAAGTCCTCTGTCCTGCTTACAATAATAGTGTCAGATGTCTTCATCCCGTGGAGTAGGATGGCAACCAGTGTGAAGACCAGCATGAGAGGTCCATAGAGTTCACCTGCAATTTTCTGTCAATATACCAACTCATTCAGGCTGGAGGGTACAATGGCTTGTCTGTTTATACCTTCCCAGGCTTTGCCTGGTCGCCCCACCCTCTGCCCTGGTGCTTCACCCGGCTCTCCAGACATGCCACCCTCTATTCACCTGGGGGAAGTTGACCATCTTGATAGGGATCATGGACTCCAGAAGCCTGAGAGAGGAGAGGAGAGATGAAAGCAGAGACAGCACTAGGCCATGAAGTTCTGGAGGGCAAGGCCTGAATCTTACTCATCTCTAACTCCAGGGATTGGGGCCTGGCCTAGAGGACATGTTAGATGACAGGGGAGAACAGGGTAGTAAAGATATACAGGGAATGAGGAAATCATTTCCTTGCCCCTAAAATTACTTCCAGGAAGGTTAACCCTCTGAAACTTAGCTGACTGAAACAGCAGCTATGTGCAGAACTCAGCCCTGCTGGGCCTTCAGAGAGGGCCTGACCATGTATCTGTCACCCCGTCTCCCCTTGAAAAGACAGGCAGACCTCAGCAGAGAGTACCCAGAGTATTAGACTGTAATGGGGAAGCCCTAGAAAAGGTCTAGTCAGCTAGATGGAAGGTTTAGAATGAAAGGTGTTACTGAGGGAACAGTAAGAGTGCCTCCAGGCACTGTCGAGCATTTTCTTGAAAAACATATGTGGAGTAGTAAGAAAATTCAGTCACCGCTCCCCACCCCCGTCCCTGCCAAGGTGGCTAGCTCCTAATCATACCTTGGATTTTAGCTAGATTTTACTTCCTTTGGGAAACCTGCCCCGTCCCACCCACCAACCTGCTATGGCTCACATATCGATCCCGTGTACCCCATCATAGCATGAGGACTGTACTATAACTGTACTCAAGAGCAAGGCTCCCATCCATCTTCACCACCGAACCGGATACAATTAGCATAGGGTCTGCCACAGAGCAAATGCTTAATAAATACTTGCTGAGTGGTCCTGGGTATTTGCTTAGCACTGATTAAAGGATGAACAACAACAAACAAAACAAGCCAGGATTATATCTAGTTCTTGAAAAGTCACTCAAAAACTATGCCCTGATATTCTGGTTCAGAGACTGTTCTGGTGCTGGGAATAAAAAGATAAACAAGATAGAGCCTGCTCTGGGGGGAAAATTCCAGCAATATGAAAGGATGGCAGTGCTGAAGTGCTGTCTGTTGGAGGCAAGTGTTCTATAGGAATACCAGGAGAGAACAAACTGGGGATGGGATTGAGGAATGTGGAATAGGGGAAGTGACATCTGAGGTAGGTTTTGAGGGAAGATGAGTAGTCGGCTAGATGGAAAAGAGGAGGAAGGCGCTTTGTTATGATTATTTGTGTTCAATGACAGGTGCAGTGATGAGAGGTGATGAGGTCACGAAGAGGGGGAGCCCACCAGAGCACAGGGCTTGTAGAGTGCATGAAGGAGTAGGTATTAGGAGGGAAGCTTCTTCAAGAGAAGGCTCCTCACCTGCTTCGCACCTGGGCAGGCTCCACATCAAAGTAGGGTCTCAGGATGTCGATGTTGGCATACAAGCTGAAGGCCCTGGAGGCTTGTCTCTTCCCAGCCTGCCACATCTGAAGGAAGATGGGCATAGGTATTGTGGAACTCTTGGCATTAGACCCTGTTGCCTATTTTCCATTTGATTTCTACCAGGACAACCTGGGGCGACACACCAATACCAACTCCAGGACATGGGACACACCTAGGTTTACTTTTCCACCTGCAGGGGATTCCATCTTGCTTACCTGATCAGCCACCTGCCGGCTCAGCTGTCCCTTAAAGCCCTTCATGCCCAGGAACTCTCCATCCTCTTCTTCAGCAGCAGCCGCATCAGCGTCTGCATCAGCGTCTACTTCTTCCTCGCGCAGGCGCTGATGCAGTTCACCCATATCCTCGAAGCTAGAGCCTGAGGTATCATCCATGTTCTCCATGTCAATCACAGCTGAGCCTCCGCCCTGTTAAGACAATGGCTCCTAGAGTGCAGGACTTTTCTGTTCCATCCATTAAGTCCTCTGCTCATCCCAGGGCTTAGGGCTTTGTTCTTCCACTGCTGAGGATACGGCTTGGAATCACTACAGATCATGCCACTCCATTCCCCCTCATTTGCTCTCAGAACGCTTGATTTATAGCTTTGGCTATCTTTTCTAGCCTGGGAAACCAACTAGTCTTCCATTCATGTCTTTCTCCTACCTTACCTATCAAAGACTAAAAGCTTGAAAAAGAATCCATTTCTGTCTTTCCAAAGCCCCAAACAAAACTATGAACACAGTATGTTTTCGGCGAGTGCCAGTGAATCCCACCCAACCCCACTCCAGGCCTGACCCCAACCAACCTCCTAACTTGTTCCAAGAATACGTTCTTCCTAACGCCTCGGGCGGGCCCAGAGACCCGAGATCCTCAGGCTGGAGTAGTAGACTAGTCTGGCCCTTTCAGGTCAATGTTAACTCCACTGACTTTTGTGTGCAAGACCCAAAGAAGGCAGTTTTGCAAATGGAGTGAACTTCCAGGCCCCGAGGGAGAATCCCCAAGACACTTCTGGACATCGCCGGCCCTCGGGTTGCTGGCATCTGGTGCCTTGGGGCCATTACCTGGATGTTTTCTTCGAACCCTCCCCATTCCGGGCCAGCTCCGTTTCGGGCGCCGCCCGTCGGCGCCGCTGTAGTTGCCATGCCCTTTGAGGGCTCCCGTCGCTGAAGCCCGCGATAGCCCCGCGCGCAGGGAAGTGTGCGAGATGTGAGTCCCAAGAAGGGAGAGGTCCCAGGTCGCGGAGAGGTGGGATCAGCCGGAACACAAAAAGGAGAAACCCGGATGTTTGGACAAAACCAACTTCCGGAAATTGGGGACGTGGATGAAGGTGGAGCAAAGTCTCGCGATATTTAAGATTCCAGGAGGCGGTGCGTTGCCACGGAGATGGAGCAGTGCTGCTAGAACGCACGCGCCAGCTAGAGCCTGTAGTCTTTTGGAGAGATTGAACATGGCGGCTACTCAGGCCGTGGAAGAAATGCGGAGCCGCGTGGTTCTAGGAGAGTTTGGGGTTCGCAATGTAAGACTTGTGTCCTTGAGCTCAGGCGGGAGGAATGAGAGCGGAACAGGGATGGGTCTTGGGATTGGCGTGGGGATAGCCGTAGGCTCACTGTCCATTTGTGGACAAACTCATCCCTTTGCTCTAGGTCCATACCACTGACTTTCCCGGTAACTATTCCGGTTATGATGATGCCTGGGACCAGGAACGCTTCGAGAAGGTCAGTGGGGCCAGAGTTGTCCGGGGATTGTTAGGAGGGCCAGACCCTGTGGTCTCAGCAGCATGTGTCTGTCTCAGTAGCTGCTCTTGGGGGTCGCTCCGTTTGTAAGTTTTGTTGAGCAATGTGGTAGACCTCCGTTTACAGGCCAAGTTAGACACAGTTTCTACCCAGTTCTGCAAACAAGATGTTCAGTCTTGTTGAGGAATGGTGCGTATAAACAAGTGAATCTAGTTTAATATGGTAAAGGTGGTTGATAGCTGTGAAGATGGCAGGATTCGTGTGGGGAACATTATGCTGAGACCAGGAAGAGGGGCCCAGAGGTACTTAACATTTCTTGAGGAGGGAAGATCTGAATTGAGCTTTGAACGGTAAGTAAAGAACAGGAGTTAAATTAGGAAGGCTTTGAGTTTCAGGTCAGTGAAGTTGAGGATATACAGGTTTTGTGTGTATTTAGTCTATTATTGTTTCACTTAGCTTAAAATAAGGATTAAAATTGCATTTAAATAGATCACTGAATGTTACTGTTTATGCAACTGAACTGTGTGTGCAGTTTATAAAACATGATCTATAAATCTGTGCTTGGGAAAATTTTACTTTTTTTAACCTGTTGATACAGGAATAAAGTATGAACAATGAAAAAGGCTAATGCTTGAAAAAAAGTTATGGTGTGAATTGTGCTCCGGGAATGTCCAAGCAGTTCTGGCACTAGTGGTAGGCAAGATTGAAGTGTGTCTTGGGCACTGTTGATGATAGGGAGCTTGAATAGTTAAGCAGACATGATTAGATTTGCAACCCTGATAGCTGGGAGGGAATGAGTTTGAAGAGGATCGTATGGAGCAGGCAGATCTGTTGTAAGGGAAGCTGAGGTTGAAGGTATGAACTAAGACTGACGGTAGAAAGAGAGCAAAGGAAGAAAGAAGGTAAATTTGTGATTGCTTTGGTAAAGGCTGTTGGGGTAGCATAAAATGACTTTTTGACTTGGGAACTGCTTTGATGCATTGTGGTATCATTTACTGAGAGAAGAAATGGGTCTGGGGAAGAGGAATGATGATACGTCGTTTCCTGCATTTGGAGAAATCTAGCAGGCTAGAAGACTGCATATTTGAAATGAGATCAGAAGGGAGGTAAAATTTTGGGAGGTGTCAGCACAGATAGTTGCTAAAACCGTTGTTAGTGTGGTTAAGGTCACCTGGGAGAGAGACCAGAACCTGGTAGATTTAGAGATGGGTGGACGTTGTTGATCATCAGAGAAGGAAGAATGGAGCTCAGAAGCCAGGAGAATAGTTCAAAAAAGGAGGGGATTTTTTTTTTTTTTTTTTGAGATGGAGTCTCTGTTGCTCAGGCTGGAGTGCAGTGGCAGGATATCAGCTCACTGCAACCTCTGCCTCTTGGATTCAGGCAGCTCTCCTGTCTCAGCCTCCTGAGTAGCTGGTATTACAGGTGCACACCACCATGGCCGGCTAGTTTTTTGTATTTCTAGTAAAGATGAGGTTTCACCATGCCAGTCTCGAACTCCTGACCTCGTGATCCAACCACCTTGGCCTTCCAAAATGCTGGGATTACAGGCATGAGCCATTGCGCCTTTCCAGGAGGGGATTTTTTTAATCAATGCCAGGCGTAACAGACGTCTAGTAAAAGGACTGTCTAGTGTCAGCATGACTAAGCAGTGAGGTGGGTTTCTGTTCTTAGGACAATAGCTTCTGTGGATGGTTTGGTTGGGAGCCATATTGGATAGGGTTTTAATGAATGGAAGACAAAAAATGGACACTTTTCATGAACCTAAAGCAAGCACTGGACGAGAAAGAACATTTAATAAGGGACGTCTGGGCAAAGGGTGGTTTTTGGATGAGTGGATAATACTTGGAATCATCTGAGGGGGAGGTATGAAGAGCTATTACAAAGAGAGCAGGCTTCACTTAATCTTTTTCCTGTCCCTCTAGAATTTCCGTGTGGATGTGGTACACATGGATGAAAACTCACTGGAGTTTGACATGGTGGGAATTGATGCATCCATTGCCAATGCTTTTCGACGAATTCTGTTAGCTGAGGTATTGGCAGGCATGGTGACAAGGTTGGATTTGCTTTGGGAACTGCACTGACACTTGGAGTGTCACTTGGAGAATTAAGTGTCTCAAGCTGTCCTTCCCTTCTTATTTTTCCTGGAGTTTTGCTGGCTAAGGATTTTACCTTCTCATTCTTTGTAAACTTCTCATTAAACATTCTAGGAAGAGAGATAGCTCCCTACCTCTGGAGGTTGGAGTTTGTGGGGATAGGTAGGGGGTCTATTGGGTTTTTGCTGATAAGTGATTTTTTCCTTGGGCAGGTGCCAACTATGGCTGTGGAGAAGGTCCTGGTGTACAACAACACATCTATTGTTCAGGATGAGATCCTTGCTCACCGTCTGGGGCTCATTCCCATTCATGCTGACCCCCGTCTTTTTGAGTATCGGAACCAAGGTGAGAAAATGAAATTTTGGGAGAAGTGGACTGTCTGGGTTTAAATCCTGGTTGACTGTGACATTGGGTAAGTATATTAGTGTTTTTCATCTGTGAGAACACTTGCCCTCTCTTCCCAAGTTTGCCAAGATAATTAAATGGGAAATATGTAAAGCATTCAGCATAGTGCTGGCACTCAGATATTTACTAGTTCTTAAGAGCTCTCTCCATTGGTGCAGGAGATGAAGAAGGCACAGAGATAGATACTCTACAGTTTCGTCTTCAAGTCAGATGTACTCGGAACCCCCATGCTGCTAAAGATTCCTCTGACCCCAACGAACTGTACATGAACCACAAAGGTAAGTAGTGGTAGAGTGAGGAAGAGGGCCCACCTGTGGGTGGCTGCTAGTTTTAGGGACTGAGATCCTCTGACACGTTTTTCCTGCAGTGTATACCAGGCATATGACATGGATTCCCCTGGGGAACCAGGCTGATCTCTTCCCAGAGGGCACTATCCGACCAGTGCATGATGATATCCTCATTGCTCAGCTACGGCCTGGCCAGGAAATTGACCTGCTAATGCACTGTGTCAAGGGCATTGGTGAGAACCCTTGGGCCTTCCTGGGAAGGGCAGTGGGGCCAACTGACTGAGGAACTCAGCCAAGATATTCCCCAAAGGTAGAAAGCCAACAGGGTTATGTCTTTTGCTGTAAGTAGCTTAGGAAGAATGAAGAAGGGTTTCCTATAGGCAGATTTTCCTTCTTCCCCTCCAGGCAAAGACCATGCCAAGTTTTCACCAGTGGCAACAGCCAGTTACAGGCTCCTGCCCGACATCACCTTGCTTGAGCCCGTGGAAGGGGAGGCAGCTGAGGAGTTGAGCAGGTGCTTCTCACCTGGTGTTGTTGAGGTGCAGGAAGTCCAAGGTATGGTATTTGGGATGCTGTTCAGGTCAGGACACAAAGTATATTTTCTCTGAAGGTGACAGAAATAAAAACTGTGGTCTCCTAAAAGTATACCATGTTTTGGTGTTACCAAGTGGTAAATTAGAAAAAAGAATCAAAAACATGGTTTGTTCTCATTAGGTAAAAAGGTAGCCAGAGTTGCCAACCCCCGGCTGGATACCTTTAGCAGAGAAATCTTCCGGAATGAGAAACTAAAGAAGGCTGTGAGGCTTGCCCGGGTTCGAGATCATTATATCTGTGAGTATGAATTGGTGAGATGGGTGGGTAATGCTCTTTGGTGCTGCAGCTTCCTTCCAGTCTAATTGTAAAGTTTAGGAATAATAGGGGCTTCTTACAGGCAAGCGCTGCCTGGGCTAAAGTCTCTCTTTGGTCCCCAGTCTCTGTTGAGTCAACAGGAGTGTTGCCACCAGATGTGCTGGTGAGTGAAGCCATCAAAGTACTGATGGGGAAGTGCCGGCGCTTCTTGGATGAGCTAGATGCGGTTCAGATGGACTGAGCTTGGATGCTCCTGAGGCAAGCTGAAGCTTTGGGTTCTGACGGACCCACCCTACAGAGCCCAGTGTAATTAGGGATCCTGAGTTTTCTGGGACAATTCCAGCTTTACTTTTAATCAATACATTTTGTTAAATGTGCCATAGAATGAGACTTTTTTAGGCCTTTATAAGGCCTTAGATGTAAATAAACTCATGTCCAAACAAAAACTTTGAGACTACTTTGATTTTTTTTTTTTTTAAAGACAAGAGTCTTACTCTGCCACCCAGGCTGGAGTGCAGTGGCACAATCTTGGCTAACTGCAATCTCCGCTTCCTGGGTTCAAGCAATTCGCCTGCCTTAGCCTCCCAAGTAGCGAGGATTACAGGCGTGCACCACCACGCCTGGCTACATCTAATTTTTTTTTTTTTTTTTTTTTTAGTAGAAACAAGGTTTCACCATATTGGTCAGCTGGTCTCAGAACTCCTTACCTCAAGTGATCTGCCCACCTTCGGGCCTCCCAAAGTGTTGGGATTACAGGTGTGAGCCACCACAAAAGAGGAGGGCCTCACTTCAGAACTGGGTTGGCATTTAGCAATTAAGAACATTGGATGTGCACTTCAGCCTGGGTGAGATCTCGTCTTGAAAACAACAAAAAAACACCGCCTGAGAATTGGCAAATTAAGTTGGTTTCTGGGAGCACAGCCAAACCCCTAGGAAAACATTCAAGCTAGAATGAATGTGCCACTTCACCTATCTCCTGGATTACCAGGGAAGTTCATGTTGCTATTGACAGCTCCAACAAAAAAATAGCAATTCCCTTAGGTCAGGCACAACAGCCACACATGTAAAGACACTGAGAATGGTATGGGCTGCCTAGTCTGGTTATGTCATGAATAGATCCTTTTCTAACTGGCATCCCATTTCAGAAAGCTTGAAAGACCAGGTCCACTGATCACATTTTTTCCTGTTTAGTCCTCTTTGCAAGGTGCTCATGAGGAAGTGAGCATGTGACTGGAGCATGTGACTGGTTTGAAAAAGGCAGATGGGTCCCTTTCTGTATGAAACGGAGATTTTTACTGACATGCAGATGTGCTTTAGAGTTAATGTTTCTACAAAAGGTTTCTATAAACAATAGAAAATTTCTAGCATGAAGTCACAGGATGTTAAAAATATTACAACACAATAAATACAACTACACCCTCCACAGCCCCAACCAGACAGGAATAGGCAGCTATAAGGTTTGGAGGGAAACACTGAGATCGCCTTCACAATCAGCAGAAACCTGGAGCACCACACAGGAAGAGGGAACAAGGGCGAGTCTATGTAGCAGAGAGAGCAACACGCGACTCCAACTTCTGCTTCCCCAGCTTTGCCTTTTCCCAATCTGACCCTGCCTGTGGCTTGCAACAGCTAAAAACCATAGCTTCAGTCCACTTCGGCTCTCATAGAAACCGTCTTGTCAGTGCACTGGATGGACAACAGGTCTGTTTTTGTACAAAGCACATGGGCACATGCTGTGGTTTCTATATCGATTAAGTCTGCCTTACGGCCAATAATAACTTCAAGGCCAGGTGCCATATGTGTGTCCTCTCTGCTTACAGGGCCTTTCAGTGACCTCCAGAATGGACTCACAGTACAGGTTGTGATGCGAAGGCATATATTCTTTTCTTTTGGAAATGGCCCTTGAGAAAAGTAACCGGGACCTGAAAGAAAGACCATGAGATTGTGGAAGGCACCTGGACTTAGTCCTAGGAGAAGACCAGTGAGTGGCTCTGCTAGCTGCTTATCACAGTTGTAGCCTAGTTGGTCTGGATTATCCTTGGATGACAATGGTGTCATGTGACACTATATAGGGTACTGTGGCTCTTGTGCCTGAGTGGACCCTGAGGCTAGGGAAGCCAGACTGAGGGGTCATTCATGGAAGGGCAAGATGTGAGAGCTCTAATGGGGATGTTAGCACTAAAGATTGCCCAGTCCTGGTCCTTGGAGGTACTATACTTAATACTGTGCCAAGTTTAGCAATAGCCTGTACCATGGATCCCATCAGGTGACCAGATTCTTGCACAAAGCAAAGTTGAGGAACTGGCCAAGTTCTCTTCAGCACTTAGCACCTAATCCAGACATGCCCCTTAGGGAGTGGGGAAAATTCCCTGCCAGCCCAGCAGCAAAAGGGCTCAGTGGGACTTGGAGTGGTCCAAGAGAAACTCTGACACAAGTAGTTGAGGGCTGTGCTCTTGCTGCAAGCCTCACTAGTCGCAGTGTTGGGCACAGTACTCCTAGTTACCATTCTGTATAGGTGTGTGGCTGCACAGGGGTGGGAGGGCGTGCAGGAGAAGGGCAGCTCTGCTCTAGCTTTTCGTGGAGAAGCCAAAACTCCAAGTAGAATGGGAACTATCTGGGACATTTAGACAGAATGGTATAAGCCCTAACTCCCTTTCTTTGTACTTTAGTATAATTATTTCTGGCCCTGCACAGGGCCTGTTATCTCCAGCTCCAGACCTGGATCTCTCTCCAGGCTGACCATGGTGGAAAGTGAGGTGGCAGTGCCAGAAGGGCCTAGAGATTAGCTACAAAGGGAAAGAAGAGATGACAATAAAGGCCGAGGAAGGATGCCCAAAAGCTTGATTCAAGGTTCAAAGATGGTGGCCAGGCCACCCCCATCATTGTCCAGCACCTCCGTCTCCAGCACTGGCTTTGGTTTTTTGAAAAGTGAGGGAAGATTCTTAATGTGAACTTCTTTTCGGAACTGCTCTCCCAAGGGTTTCTGTGGAAAACAAATGAGAAAGAATTAATGCTGGGCTCTAAACAGTAAAGATTATCTCACCACAATGGTCAATAACTACAGCTGCTTTATGGTTTTCCCATACACATGATTTAAGAAGGGGGTTGGGTGCACTAATGAAGGTGCATGACCTACCCCAATGCAACCAGCAATGAGGCGTTTGAATTGGTCCTTTCGGCGCTTGTCAGCCACTTTCTGCAGGGAGGGGTTTAAAAGCTTGCAGTCAAACTGGTCCAGTGAATCCTTCTGTATTTCAGGGATTTGCTCCATTACAGCTCTTATCTCCAGGTACCTGGGGCGCTGGTATCAGTAGGGATAAACTTACTGGATGTAGGTCTGGACAGTGCTACCTTCCCCATTTCCCACCACACCCATTTCTAAGAGCTAGCACCATCAATGGTAAGGCCTAAGAGACCAGGAGCAGATACTGAGTGATGGAGCTACAGCCATCCTGCCCCCATGCTTTCCCCACTCACCAGCGCCTCATATATCTGGAATGCCAGATGGACCAGGGAAGCCATGCACCCGTCGTGCTGCCCGTGCATCTGTAAGCCTTTCAGCACACTGGTGAAAAGCCATGTAACTGCATCTGCGAGCAGTGTCCCTGACAGCACCTGGGGAGACAGCTGTGCTTTAGGGCCACAGGGGGACTCTCTGAAGGCCTCAGTACCCCAATTCTTCTGAAAGATTTAGTCAATCTGCATGACCCAAACCTTTCATGAGGGGCAGGGAAAAGGGTGGAAAACCATACTTGTTTGAGGAGAGGCCAGCAGAGCTGTGTGGTTGTCCTCTGGCAGGACAGAGTATCCTTCCAGGCCAGGGAATTGAAGGCTGTAATTAATAGTGCTGTACAAACATCCTAAACAGGAAAGGATGAAGGATTACAATAGGAAAAGCAGCACAATTTTTTTATTATTCTTATACATCAGGAGCTGGAGTTTCTTTTTTCTCCCCCCTCTAAAGATGGGAGTCCTCGTTTTGTTGCCCAGCTGGTCTCAAACTCCTGGGCTCATGCAATTGCGATCCTCCCACCTCAGCCTCCTGAATAGCTGGGACTACAGGTGTGTGCCACCAGGCCTGGCTTAGGAGCTGGAGTTTCAAATAGCTAAGCAGGAAAAATAAAAGCTGAAGTGAGTTTACTTCCTCTATTTTTGTGTATCAACAGTCAAAAGAAAAAATCATTGGGAGGTTGAGGCAGGTGGATCACAAGGTCAGGAGATCAAAACCATCCGGGCCAACATGGTGAAACCCTGTCTCTACTAAAAATAAAAAAAATTAGCTGGGCATGGCGGCACACGCCTGTAGTCCCAGCTACTTGGGAGGCTGAGGCAGGAGAATTGTTTGAACCCAGGAGGCAGAGATTGCAGTGAGCCAAGATTGAAGATCGCGCCCCTGCACTACAGCCTGGGTAACAGTGTGAGACTCCATCTCAAAAAAAGAAAAAAATTAAAATGTGAGAAAACCTGTATGTGTAGCATGGAGACAAAGCTCAGGTCTGTCGGGGGGAGACTAAACACCAGGGATCTGTATCAGTGTGCCTACTATGTTTTTTCCTGAGAGCTTCTGCCTATGCTGGTATGGGAGACACCATGGCATTGTACCGTTTCCCTCCTTTTTTTTTTTTTTCTGGGAGCTTTAGGAACCAGGAACTTACATAACAAAAGAATAGCAGAAAAATCTCTCCTGATGGCATCACAGAGCAAGAAAAGTAGAAGGAGCCTCCCCAGCTGAGCAAGGAGTAAAGGTATCTATCACCTGCTCCTACCCACCTCATGCTTCATCAGACATTTGCCCAGGTCTGTAAGCTCTGCCATAGCTGAGGGGGAGACCTCTGTGGCCATCATTTCTTCATCTGTAAGCAGGGAGTAGAATGTTAAGCTCCATCCTTTCAGAACAGAGAAGATTATCTTGTTTTGACAGAAGTGCAAAAAACAAAGCAAAGCTGAGTGTTCTAGGCTAACTGGTGCTACGTAGTACTTCT